GAGGCACATGTTGTGGTGAGCCGAGATTGTGTCATTGCCTCCAGCCTGGGCAACAGAGTGAGACTCCGTCTCAAAAAAAAAAAAAAACCCAGAAACAACAACAAAAACAACACCGTGAAAGTGACTATTAAGAAAAAAAAAATTAGCCGGGCATGGTGGCGCACGCCTGTAGTCCCAGCTACTCAAGAGGCTGAGGCAGGAGAATGGTATGAACCCAGGAGGTGGAGCTTGCAGTGAGCTGAGATTGCGTCACTGCACTCCAGCCTGGGCAACAGAGCAAGACTCTGTCTCAAAAAACAAAAAAAAACAAACAAACAGCAACAAAAAAACTCATTACTGTCTTGGGTATCCAAAACCCCATTTCCGCCTTTTTTAACTGCCATAGAAAACATTGCGCTTCCCTCCTTTATGCAGGTCCGATGCAGACCACAGGTGCTCAGATGGCGGGCAAGCCTGCCTTCCATGCTCCCTCCACCATCGTCCTCCTCGGGGAGCTAAGACAGCTGCTTGGTGAGCATCTGGTCAATGCGGGAATCTGGTACACCTGTTCCCCTTGATTTCAGCTGTTCGATTTTCATCTTCATGAATATTAACAAGATTCGCCTTCTCCTGGAATTTTTCATTCTCCGTGCCCACATGCTTTCAGACCCCTCTCTTCTCCTTTTTCATCTGGACCTACATTGCAACCTTTCCTTTCTCTTTATTTTCTGATTACGAAATTAGGCATACAATGTACAAAATCTGGACAGGACAAAAATACGAAGTCCCAACACCCAGGGGCAACTCCCCTTAAATCCCGACACTCGGGCAACTCCCCTTAAATCCCGACACTCAAGGGCGACTCCCCTTCAATCCTGACACTCAGGCAACTCCCCTTAAATCCCAACACTCAGGGGCGACTCCCCTTAAATCCCGACACTCAGGCAACTCCCCTTAAATCCCAACACTCAAGGGTGACTCCCCTTAAATCCCGACACTCAGGGGTGACTCCCCTTAAATTCCGACACTCAGGCAACTCCCCTTAAATCCCAACACTCAAGGGTGACTCCCCTTAAATCCCGACACTCAGGGGTGACTCCCCTTAAATCCCAACACTCAGGCAACTCCCCTTAAATCCCGACACTCAAGGGCAACTCCCCTTCGATCCCGACACTCGGGCGCGACTCCCCTTAAATCCCGACACTCGGGCAACTCCCCTTAAATCCCGACACTCAAGGGCGACTCCCCTTAAATCCTGACACTCAAGGGCGACTCCCCTTAAATCCCGACACTCGGGCAACTCCCCTTAAATCCCGACACTCGGGCAACTCCCCTTAAATCCCAACACACAGGGGCGACTCCCCTTAAATCCCGACACTCAGGCAACTCCCCTTAAATCCTGACACTTGGGCAACTCCCTCCAACAGGGCTTGTTTCCTTCCAGTTTTTTCCCTTTGAGTTTCTTTTAAAGCTAAGATTCCATTGCTTCTATGACTTCGCAGGTGCACACTTTTGTTTTCTTATTTTGTTTGGATATTATCATCAGCATTTCCATTGACATTAAAGTCTGCATGGTTTTGATTACAGGGCTGGATAACAACCCAAGAAGTGGACACCTAGCACTCTGCTGGTGCACACAGTGAGGTGACTGGGCCCATCTCCAGGCTGGAGTGAAGTCTGTCATGCTGTGGGTGGAAGCCAAGGCGATGTGAGTGAAGAGCTGGGAAGCAGAAGCAGGCTCACCTTGGAGTCAGAACAAAGCTACTAATGTGGGAAGGGAAAACCTTAAGTTAAAAAACACAACGCAGAGGTTTTCATCCCAGCCTGAAGACTAAAGATTTTGGGTCAAGAAGCCAAAGAGGAACTCAGAAGCCACAAACAGAGACCCAGGTTCAACCCCTACCAGGGTCTTTCTGACTGCCTTTCCCTGGCGCTGGCTCTGCTGTGAGTCTCTCCACCAAGCCGGGGGGACACCCTACTGAGGGGAACATCAGCACCCAGGGGGACACCTGCGGCAGGGGGACACCTGCACCAGGGAGGCACCTCTGCCGGGCAGGCACCTCCAGCGGGAGGGACACGTCACCGGGGGGATGCCTGCGTCGAGGGGAACACCTGTGCTGGGGGGCACCTCACGGAGGGGACACCTCCGCTGGAGGGACACGTGCACCTTGGAGGACACCTGCACCAGGAAAGACATTTGTGCCCGGAGGGACACTGCTCCAAGCAGGGACACCTGGTCCGAGAGGGGACACCTGCGCCAGGAAGGACAACTGCGCCTGGGGGTGCGGATACCGTCAAGCGGACACCTGTACCAGGAAGGATACTTGTGCCTGGGGGGACACCTGTGCCTGAGGGGACACCTGCACCTTGGAGGACACCTGCGCCAGGAAGGACACTTGTGCCTGGAGGGACACCTGCCCCAAGGAGGGACACCTGCTCCGAAGGGGGGACACCTGCGCCTGGTGCGGGGGAGACACCGTCAAGGAGAAACCTGCACCAGGAAGGACACTTGTGCCTGGGGGGACACATGTGCCTAGGGGACACCTGCGCCTGGGGGGACACATGTGCCGGGGAGGACACCTGCGCCGAGGGAACACCTGCGCCGAGGACACTCGCACGAGCGGGATACTCCACGGGACCCTGAACGGCCTCCCTGCCCTCCAGGTCCCGGTCCGGCCTCCCCCTACGCGCCCCCGCGGAAGCCAGAGACAGGGAGAGCAAGGATGAAACACGGCGACCACCGCCCAGGGACCCGCGGGCCGTCAGGACCTGCTGCCGACTCACCCTCTAAGCCTACGCCGCCGCCTCAGCCGCCGCCTCCGGAGTCCCGGAAGTGGACAGCGAACGGGTACTTCCGCTTCCGGCAACGGTGCCGGAAGCATGGGTCCGGCCCTCCGGGCGGGGCGGGTACCCGTCTCTTGGCCGAGCGACTTCAGCTCGGGGACGTGCCCCGTGGCCGCTCCCCAGCAGGACATGGTAACTGCCGGGGTGGGGGTCTCCTTGCCCGTCCCAGCCCCCCCAACTCAGGCCCTCCGGCGACCCCCGCGTGCGCCCTTCCCCAGGGCCGGCGCAGTCTTGGAAGCCTCCGCCCAGCGTGGCTGCCTGCGTTTTCTCTCCGTTCCCTTCCCGACCTCCGGAGAGAAGACAGCCCCAGAGCCGCTGTGGCTCCGTCCTCCGCTGACGCCTCATGTCTTTATGTTGGCCTTGCCGTCCGCACTGCAGTGTGGCAGGGGCGTCCCGCCTTTGCCGCGGACTGAGGTGGGCGCCGAGCATTCAGCAAACGAGGAAACGAAAGCGGGGGAAGTTGGGAATCAAGCGTCTGTCTGCCTGCCACCAGCAGACAAGCGGCTTTGGGCACCCCTTGGACCCAAACACGAACTCAGCCCCTGCAGGAGCGCAGTCATCGGCACCCACGTGGGAACAATGCCCTGGGATGGGTGGCCACGGGATGTTTCTGGGGCCCCTCAGAGGCCCAGCGGCGCGGGTCTTGGAGAATGAATGTGTGTCGCTGGGCCGCTGCTGCAGAGGGCCGGTCCTGAGTCGCTGCTTGGAAGAGAGGCCCATGGCCAGCACTTGGCTTCACCAGGAGGAAAAAGCACGTGTTAAACCACCAGCATTCGGGGTTTGTCTGTTTGATAAAGGATGCACCAACTAACAAGAAAGTCCTTCATAGGTTGCAGCTGCTAGGTTGTGCCCCTGGCCCCTCCTGAAAATCGGCCACACAAAAGGAAGGGTCTGGAAGGTGGCAGAGAAGCCTGCAGAGACAAGGAAAGTGGCAGCAGCATGGGGCGGGGTCACACAGGATGGAGATGGAGCTGTGGGAGCCCCCGCTGCCACTCCCACAAGGAGCGCAGCCCCGTGCCCTGCTGATGCTAACACCCCGGCTCTGTTATTTCAGTTTTTCCTTGTAATTTCTGAAAATCTAGCAACAAGTTGAGCAATGAAAAAAATTTTTTAAAAACAGTTAAAATTATGTTAGAAATTATGACTAATTTTGAAACTAATGAAGGAAAAAAAATGGCCTTTTAAAAATTACCAAAGCTTTTAGGACTCTTCAAAATATAGTAACATTGAGTATTATGAACTAAAGACTCATACTGTTATTCAGTGTCTGGTAGTGAATTTGGATGGACTGTCTAGTAACTTCTTAACATTGAAAGTCTTTCTTGGTGGGGCACGGTGGCTCACGCCTGTAATCCCAGCACTTTGGGAGGCTGAGGCAGGCGGATCACGAGGTCAGGAGATCCAGACCATCCTGGCTAACATGGTGAAACCCCGTTTCTACCAGAAATACAAGAAAAAAATTACCTGGGCGTAGTGGTGGGTTCCTATAGTCCCAGCTACTCAGGAGGCTGAGGAAGGAGAATGGCGTGAACCTGGGAGGCAGAGCTTGCAGTGAGCCGAGATTGTGCCACTGCACTCCAGCCTGGGCAACAGTGTGATACTCCATCTCAAAAAAAAAAAAACAACCAAAAAACTCTTTCTTGGCTGGGCACAGTGGCTCCCACCTGTAATCCTAGCACTTTGGGAGGCTGAGAAGGGCAGATCCCTTGAGCCCAGGGGTTTGAGTCTAGCCTAGACAACATGGTCTTTTTGGTAGAAATCCCATCTCTACCAATAAAACACAGAAATTAGCCAGGCATGGTAGTGCATGCTTGTAGTCCCAGCTTCCTGGGAGGCCAAGGCAGGAGAATGGCTTGAACCTGGGAGGCAGAGGTTGCAGTAAGCTGAGATGGCACCACTGCACTCCAGCCTGGGCGACAGAGGGAGACTCTGTCTCAAAAAAAAAAAAGTTTCTTGACTTCTGTTTTCGGCAGACCACATTGTGCCAACACCCAGGGGCACTGCTGAGTACAAGCATCATGTTGATTGCACAAGTGGATTCACGAACAGGCAAGGACGTGACCAGGGACAAATGTGGAAAGGGGAGAGGACGTCAGAAGCAGAGATGCTTGCCATCCTAGAGCAGGCCGCTGGGTGGGTAGGGTGCGAGTCCTGCGGCCCAGGGGTTGGGTTTTACACTGAAGCAGGACAGCTGATGAAGCTAAGGCTCCCAGCAGGCAGGAGGTGGACAGAGACTCCTGTGTGAAGCACAGATATGCAAGGGGGTGCATCCTCAGTGAAAGGGTGGACTAGGAAAACAACAACAGCCTGGAGACTGTTCCTAAACTCAGCCCTCAGCAGAAGCCAACCCAGGGTCATTGCTAGAGGGATCCTCCGCCTTGACAGGAGCAAGCTTGAGGGGCGATGGGTGGGGGGCACTGAAGCGCCCACAGTCCTGGCCCTGCTGTGGGAGAAGAGAGACCGTGCTTAACTCCTGCTTGTTAAATACCCACATTAAGGTTAGCCACTACAGAAATAGAAACAGGAAGAGAGAAAATGCAGGCAACACCACAGAGACTGTAGGAAGAAGATGAGGAGGACCCTGTGTTCAAATGTATCAGTAATGAGAACACAAGTAAGTGGATTAGAAACTGAAACATTCATAGGAGAACATCTAAAGCATCAAGAAACAACGATTAGAACTGGGCTTTTCACACGTGGGTCAGCGAGGCCTGAGAAGCTGGTGTGGTGATATGAATATCAGACAACCTGGCTTTTTGGTCAAAAGCCACTGTCAAAGATAGTTATTTTCCTAAGATGCAAAATGCATATTCCATAAAGAACAAAATAGAAAAGTTGCTATACTAAAATTTTAAACTCCTGTGGGATGTATTTTTTAAATCCTTAAGTGAAAAGCCAAGCCACAGACTGAGGGAAAACATTGTCAACATCTGTAACTGACAAAAAGATTGCTATCCAGAATAAAAACAACTCTTGCAAATCAATCTAAAAGGGCAAACAAGTGCAACAAGAAACAGGTAAAGGACAAGAGCCATTGGCTCCAGGGAATAAGCTGCCTCCCTCGGCCTTCATCAGGGAGACCTTGTCCCCACACCCTCCTCACGGGGCCCTGCTCAAGCCTCTGAGCCATGACCGGGGCGTCTCCACCCAGGCCCTGCTTTGTTGTCACTCGGACCTCACTGCGGCCGTGCTGCCGCCTCCACTCGCCGTTCAGCTCCAGCTGTCCATACGTCCCGCATAAAACTGCCCCAAAGACCTGGACCACCCCTAACTGCAGCTCTGTGCACCTGCAAAGCACCGGTCCTCTCCATGCCTCGCAGAGTTCTCATGGTCACATTCAGCTGCCTGCCCCCCTTCCCCCTGCACATGGGTACACACCGCACACCACACACCACACAAGTGCAGACGTCAGCTCTGGGACAGCACTGATGTCTGCATCGTTTTCTCCTGAATGCATCCCCAGCACTGGCCCAGGGCCTGATATTCAACATGGACTAAAAAAATAATGCTGAATGAATGAATCAACAAAATGTACATAAAACAGCTGCCGTTTCATCCCTTCAGAAGCCCAAGACTGCAAAAGTCTTTCCATACAGGTCCCCGTGTGGGGGGAGGATAGGAGCCCAGGAGGTGTGGCTGGTAGAAGGGAGGCCAAGTGGGTGCAGCCCTCTGGAGGACACTGGGCAGCGCCTAGTGAGATGAAATTGTGTGCGTCCAGCCAGGCGTGGCGGCTCACATCTGTAATTCCAGCACTTTGCGAGGCCGAGGTAGGCTGATCACGTGAGGCCAGGAGTTTTAGACTAGCCTGGCCAACATGGTGAAACCCAGTCTCTACTAAAAATACAAAAATTAGCTGGGCGTGGTGGTGGATGCCTGTAGTGCCAGCTACTCTGGAGGCTGAGGTGGGAGAATCACTTAAACCTGAGAAGTGGAGGCTGCAGTGAGCCAAGATTGCACCACACTCCAGCCTGGGCAACAGAGCGAGACTCCGTCTAAAAAAAAAAAAAAAGGAATTGTATGCGTCCTAACTCCACACAGGCGTACTCAGCAGAAGCCAGACTGGGGGTGAGGAGTGAAAATGCAGGAACTCCGTCTGCCTGAGGCCACAGAGCAGAGGGCATGGGGGGCGGGGTGGGGCAAGGTGTGGGGCCACAGATGGGAGGGCTGGCCTGGTCCCTGGGGAGGACATGGGAGTCTTACACCAGTGACCAGGACGGGTTTGCTGACGGGCTGCAGGGTGTGACAGAGGTCTGGCAGGGTCTGCGCAGACTCTAAAGTTGCCTGAAAGGAAACAAAAGCACAGCTCCCTGGGCCTTGGACTGCCATTTGTGCTTAATTAGACCCCAGCATTTTTTTTATGGCATTGGGGGATCTGGCCACAATCTGCCTGGGCCGGTGACCCCCTTCCCCCTTCCCATGGGCTTGTCATGCAGGTCCTGTGCCAGGCAGGGCGGACCCTGCATGACCCCGGACCCACAGTGCTCTCAGCTCTACCCTCCTGGCTTCTTACAGAATGGGTCAGGTCTGAGGCATCCTGAGAGCACCCGGGAGGGGCCCTGACCCTCAGTGACATGGGAGGGGGGCCTAGACCCTCTCTAGATGCAGTGCCGCTGGGCAGGAGCAGGGAAATGGCAGGCATTTTCTCCTTCACGAGGCTTGCAGCTCTAGAGTTTTATTTTTATTGCTGCCTTATATTTAGTGATGAAAGGCTATCTTAGAATGCTGATTAACCAGCACACTCTTTAAAGGAAATAAAGTGACTTCATTTGGAAAATCACACAGACATTCGCAGACATTTCAATTTTTGCTAAACATGTACTAGCATGTCATGTACTTTACATCAATATTGCAAATTTAATACAAACCACAGTATAAAAAATATTTGAAAGCTTCCTAAAGGCACTGAGAAAGCAGTAGGGAGTTGCATTTATAGTGCATAGGTTTTAAAAATTCAACAAGTTGGTCTAGGTATTGAAAACTTTTTTCTTCCAGTAGAAACTGCAAAAATATAAGTTGTATTGATCTTCCTTCCATCCCATGCCCACCTCATATTTGACTTTAATACTTTTTCAGCTATATAGGGAAAAGCTACATAAACAGAAAAACATGAACCTGTAATTAGTGCTAACAATGACATTTTAGAGAGAAGTGACACGTCCACACCTTCTATGTTCCATCGTCTTCCCCACTGTTTTCCAAGAGGGTTGTGGCTATAAAATAACGAAAGTGCTGACTTGGGGAGTTTTTCTTGCCACCAGGGAAGGGACGTTGGACACCTCGCTGACCCCAGGCTCTCAGGGCCGCAGCCTCATGTGGGGTCCCCACACCACAAAACCGGCAGAGTCGACACCCATGTGCTGAGTGCAGCATCAGCACGGCATGGCTTGCCCGGCAGCAACCCACCATTCAATCTGGCACCTGGCACCAGGAGGGCCTTGGGTGGGGGCGCGTCTAAAGGTCTGGGAGGCTGCAGGGCAGGACGTGGTGAAGGAGCCTCCTGGGCAGGGGCTGCCGTCTGTGCTTAAGGAGGCCCCGGTGCTCCTTTGATGGCACTGAAGGGCCCGGCTATAATCGGCAAACACACAGCCACGTCTCTGATTCGATCTTTGGGGCCTGGTGTTTTTCCCAGTGACAGCCGTTGGCTCCAAGACACTGAAGACCTGTGATACACAAGACTCTCAGTCACTGAGCTCCCTGCCCTCCTCGGCCCTGAGACTGGAAGAGCAGCTGCCACGTTTGGGACCCAGGCAGCACCCAGGCTGAAGGGAGCTGCTGAGGGCTGAGTTCCAGGACACAGGACGTGGCTGGCCCTCAGGACAGGGAACTCCAAGAGTGGAACATGCATGTTGATTGAGACTTTTTCAGGGATACAGCAGATCTGATTTTTAATTCTTTTTTGTAGAGACATGTTCTTGCTATGTTGCCTGGGCTGGTCTTGAACTCCTGGGCTTAAGCAATCCTCCCACCCTGACCTCCCAAAGCGCTGGGATTACAGGCATGAGCCACTGCGCCTGGCCTGCAGGTCTCATTATTAAGGGTGTTTCTATGATCAGCAAAGGAGCTGGGCACTTGGTTAGAATAGGAAGGAAGTGGGAAACTTCTGAAATACCATCCTGGTCTTAAATCCATAAACGCCCCGAGGCCAGAGGTGTGCAATGCTCAGCATGAGAAATGAATAAAGAGGGACTCTGTGCTAGCGTAGGGCCAAAGTGGGAAGTAGGGGCCAGTCCTCAGGTGCCTGGTCCTCACAGGTGCCTGCTCTCCACAGGTGACTGACCCTTAAGTGGCTGGTCACCCATGGCTGGCCGCTGGGTAGCTCTGTCCCATCATGAGTTAGGCATCAGATAAGGGAGAGACGGTGGTGGAAAGCCATGAGCACGTCTCGCACCCACGACAGCACAGCACGGAGGGCAGCTTTGAAAGGCGCCCCCTGGCTAAGCAGTCAGTGAGTGTCCCCTCGGCAGGGCTTGGGGGTCACAGGAGGCCACCATGGATCTGGGACTCTGGGCTCAGGTGGTTGGCTGTTCTCTTTCAGTTCTGAGAGGAGATCCTTATCCCTATCCCTGCCACATGGGGGCAAACTGTCCAAGAACCAGGCCACTGAGAGGTGCAGGCACTTGGCGATGGGCAGAAGACCCAGTCCTGCCAACCAAACCTGGGTTTTGACAAACTGAAGGTGCATTTATCAAATGGCTTCAGCATTAAACCAGGGACTAAGTAAGCACTGATCCCCCAAAGCCGCCGACAACATAGCAGGAGTCCACACGGGAGGCAGAATGCACAGTGCGATGGGGTAGTGGGTCCCTTATCCGCCGGCTCCCATGGCTCCTGCCACTCCCAGTGGAGCTGACGTCAGGGCACTGATGCCCTGTCCCTGAGGAGAGGGGCCTTCCCGCCCCCACACAGGTGGGCCTCACTGCCCGGCGGTGACTTCTACACCCTGATCTGATGCCTGCACCAGCCGGGTGGGGTTCCAGGCCACACCAGGGAAGAAGCCTGAACTGCACCAGCAGCTGTAAGTTACCCGGGTTGGTGGCTTTGGTGACCTTCACTTTCTGACTTACGCTTTTGTATCCAAATTTCCTCCTCTCAGAATATATCGCCTTTACCACTGTTTTAATGCTGTTAATACTTGTCCGTCTTGTCCCTAATTATTCTCCTAGGATGGCAATGGGAACCCTCATTTGAGTGAACCGTAGAGACAGCCAGCCAGAGAGAAACCCCACAGACAGCACAGTTTCCTGTGTCTTCTCTCTACATTGTGTTTCTCTGTACTTCCAAACCCGGAGTCTGTGAACTCTGCATTACGTGATGCACCAAGAGGCGGATTAGTAAGAACTGTCTGCGGAGACCCACTGAGAACTCGGGAGATGTCCAGAAGGAACAGGGGCTATCCTGTCAATTTCCAGTCCAGGTCTGGCCTCACACTCTGTCATGGTGCCACACAGTGTGGGACCCACGCTACCAGCCTCTGCTGCCTGGAACTTTCTAGATTCCTCCATGAGTGGGCTCACAGATCCTTTCTCTGCGAGTTGTATTTCTAATTTGCAGTGTGCTGGCCTCTGCAGCACACTGTGGCGATGGGCTGACTCTGCCTGCACAGCACAGGCCGGGAGCTGCAGGTGGCCTGGGAGGGCTGAGCTAGGTAGGTCACCAACCGCTTCATCCCGACTGTGGACTTGGCGGCCGTGGGACGGGATGATGCTGTCCAGCCGTGATCACTTTCCTAAAGATTTTAATTTCTCAAAGAGAAATACTGTCATGCTTGAACAGATTTATGGCCAGTTTGCATTTAAGAACTATTGGGATATTTTACAAAACTCAGGATACGCTACTGCAAATCCTGCACACACAGACTAGCAGAGTGTGCATGCACAGCTCTGCAAAGCACGTCTTAGGATGGGCTCTGGCCTGACCAGGCGCAGGGCAGCCCAGCCACTGACGCATCTGAGCGTAGACGGACGGATCTGGGCCTGGGCGGTGGTCACTGTGCTACGGGAGGAACGTACACTCCGAAGCTTGGGGCGGGACCAGCGTTGCCAAGGCACTTTTGGGAAACATCCCAGGCACCGCTCCCTGGCTGTGAGTAGCCCACGGGGGCGAGTCCAGGGGCTCCCGCTTGACCACAGGGGCGGCCTCAGCAGCTCTGCAGGCGCAGGACTGTTCACCTCGGCCCCGTGCACAGAGCTGGTGGGGAGGCTCTGGCTGGGCAAGGCCGTGCATGGGCTCCAGGCAGGCACAGTGTGCAGGGTGGAAAGGGGTCAGCTCCCTGCTGCGCCCAACAGTGGCCCTGCCATGAGGCTGAGTCCCCCGCACGCCGTGCCCCAGGTGCGAGATGTACACCTGTTGCTGAGAGTCTGGCTCTGTTTTCAGGTGCATCCTGGTAGGGAAGGTGGCTGGATGGCTCCTGTCACTGGCCCCCAGCCACCCCTGGCTGGGCACACAGCCGTCTGCAGCATCCTCAGACCCAGAGTCCTTCTCCATCTTGATGGGCACATCTAGCAGCAGCGTCGGACCGCACAGGTCCCCCGGAGGCATCGGCACACCCTGCAGCTTCACGTCCTCCATGGGATAGCCCCTCGTGGCAAAACGCTGAGCTCCAGGCTGAGGGAGCCGGTGCTGCAGGCTCCCCTGGGGAAAGTGGCAGAGGGGAGGGTGCACCTGGTCCTCACCGACATCCCGCACAGGTCTGCTGGTCCGGCTGGAGTAGGCACTGGGGGATGGGCTCAGCGGGTGAGAGATGGGTGAGTTCCTGAAAGTGCCCTGGACACACGAGTAGGGCAGGCAGGAGCCGCGGGGCGTGGGGCGCAGGCAGGGTGGGTCACTCTTGCTGGGCTGCAGCCTCGGCCTGGCACCATCTTCACCGTGCCTTCCCGCTGTCCAAGGCAGGGGCTTCGTGGGTCCTGGAGTCTCCCTGTGCCCTGTCACTCCGGAGGCCCTGCTCAGCATCTTGTGCTGCTCCTCCTCCCTGTCCCTGCAGAGAAAAGACGGGGCCCATTCGACAGAGCTGAAGACACCAGGTCTGGTTGCCTTGGATGGGGGTCTCTAAGGGAGGTTACTAAATTAGGATGATGCTGAATCTGCGGGGGCTGCTACACCGACCCCACACTGCACTGTCCCTTCTAACCCACCCAGCAGCCCAGGAGGCCGTGCCAGCACCCCCACCCCCACTGTGTGCCTGGGGTGAGTGAGGAGGGCCCAGGGTGGGGTGAGGGTGCAGGCTTCAGGGAGGTGTCTCTGTGAGGCCTATGCCAGCTGTCCAGTGTCAGCCACACCAGTCACTAGTGCTAGGGGTGGGGAGGGGCAGTGCAAATGGTCCCATGGAACTGCACAGCAGAAAACACCATGTCCAGCAGTTTCTGTGGCCAGGCTCTGTTGCTGACCAACGGGACACCACATGCCTTGGGACTGGCACTGCGTGACTGTGAGATGGTGACCTGGAGGGTGGGGAGAGACCCGTGGTGCACAGCTGGGCTGGTCAGGAAAGGGGAGGAGGCCCACCTGGGCGGTAGGCAGGCCCTGGGGAGGGAGAGGAAGGAGAGAGGGCTCTGAGCAAAGGCAAGCTCAGGATGGAGTTGGGTGACCCGGGGTCCAGGCGACAGGTGAGTGCGGGTCCCACAGCCCACTGGGCATCCTCGGTCCCATCATCCCTGGGCCACTGCTCCCCGGGGTCAGTCCTCAGCGATACACATGACTTCCAGCCCAGGAAGCTTCGTGGGCAGCTCCACAGAGAGCAAGGTTAGCTGTGGCTCGCGTGGTGGTCAAGGCCACCACCGTCGTCAAGGCCACCACCGTCTTTTTTTTTTTTTCTTCTTAATCACTCCCCCACCTGCTCTTTGGCCTCCACGGTGACTTAGGGAGCTGCCAGGGCTGGGGGAGGCTGCCTGGCGCCACTTACCCTGAGCACCCCTTGGGGTCGAGGACAAGGTCGGGGCCGCCCCGGAGGCACAGGCACGGAGCCCTGGTGGGAACCTGTGCCCATCGGCCAGCGTCAGTCTGTTCCCTGAGCACCAAAACGCCGCTTTCTCTGCTGCTCCTTCCTGTTGGGGTTTAGAGGGGGAGGAAGCCGTCACGGTGCGAGCTGAGGAGCTCCTGGAAGACGGCTGCTTGTTCTCAGCAAGGCAGGACCCGTCGGCTCCTCAGAAACGCACAGACCAGAGCCCAGGAACAGCACTGGTCCACGGCAGGGCAGACTCCGAATCTCTGCAAAATGGCTTCTCCGTGGAATACGCCGACATCTCCGCCGGGCAGGGAAGCTCTCCAAGGGGCAGAAACACATTTTACCCACGCGGAAAAGATCAGGTAAGAAATGTTCTAAGTACCTGCTGAGTAATTGGGTTTTCCACGCGGTTCCGATTCACACAGACTGGTGGTGGCTTTTACTCTGTGAGGAACACAGATAACAGCAAGATGACGTACGGATTAAACACGTGTCGATGGTAGAAATTAATAAGGACAGGTATTGCTGTCGTCCCTGAGCAGTGAAGACAGACACAATAATTGGCTCTTGTTTAATTCTTTACAGTGCGGAAAGTTATTTTCTCAGCTATAGAGTTACTGAAAATACTAAGTCATGTCACTTTTCAGGCCGATGAAGGGCTAATGAATTTGCTTCAGAAAGTGGAAGGATAAAATCACAGGATGATTTTTAGAGCTTATATTTTTTTCCTGGATGGCCAGAAAGAAAATACAGTCCATTCTCATGACTCCAGGTAGTAATGTTCCAGAAAGTGAACACTGAGGCGAGTTGGAGACCAACTCACATGGGACATGTGTGTGTACCCACATACGCATCACACTGATCCGAATCTTAAATCCCAACAACTCACCCTGGTAGATTCTATTTGCTTTTGCTTTTCAAAAGAGAAATAGTAAGTGGCACTGCCCCACCAGCAGGTCCCAGAGTTGAGTTCAAACCCATCTGACTGGCCCCACAGCCACAGCCCCTGCGCTGCCCTCCTCTCTGTCCTCTCGGCACCTCCAGGAGGGCCGGGACCAGAGGCTGAGTGGGGGCCCAGGTATAACACGAGACTCATAATGCCCCATGTATGGCCATGAATGGCTGCAAAGCACAGGGTGTGCTGACGTGGGGGTCCCAGTGAATTATGGTGAGCAGAGGAATTCACAGAATGGGCTTCAGGAACAGGGAGATCAAGATCATGTCACAAAACCCCTGTGGGAAAAGCTGTGGAAGACTGGGTGGCTGTTGGGGGCCGCTGCTGGGGGCTGCCGCTGGGGGCCGCTGGAGGCTGCTGCGGGGGGCTGCTGGAGGCCACCGCTGGGGGCCGCTGCTGGGGGCCACTGGAGGCTGCTGCTGCTGCCTCAGGGCTCTGATTCTGCAGAATGCACCTTGCATCTTGCACCACTGTGGCGCTCAGGACTGGTGGACCACAAGGTGTATCCCGAAAGCTGGCTTCTGAATCCAGCTCAGAGCAGGGTGGGGAGAATTCCAAAAACCTTCAGCGCGTGGGAGTCAGTATTCTTGGTTTTCTTCCTCCTTCTGAGTTTGAATAACATGTTTGTTGAGCTGAAGTTGTGTGCCAGCTTTATGTGCCTTGGGCTCCACCCCGCCCTCACAGCCCCACAGGGGGTCTCGTCATCCAGACCGCTGGAGGAGTGCTGTGACTTTCGGCCCCATACCTGTGCCTGTAATCCCACACCTACGCTCCACCCCAGGGCCAGGACGACAGGGCTGTGCGCACACACAGTGAGGTGGGGCCAGGCCTGCCCTGCCTGGCTCTGACACCAGGGGGCTGCGTCCCCTCTGCTTCTAGGGCTGGGAACTCCCAGGGAAGACCAGGCTCGCGCGTGTGCAGCAGAAACTCCATGGTGACTGTAAGCAGAGGACAGTGTTCCAGGGTTTGCGTGGTCCCTGTAGGTGCCGGAGGACCTGGGCCTGAGCCCTGCAGGGACCCCAGGGCTTTCTGTGTGCCTGTGTAGCATTTACTTCTTTTCCCTTTATCCCTTGCACTTCACATTTCCATCCTTTAAAATAAGGTACATGCATTTAATTTAAAACCTTGCAGAGATGTGTGGGCCTCAGCAGGCTGGCCCATGTCCTGGCCGTCCCTGGAGCTGCCCTCTGTCCACCCTCAGACAGCAGCAGTGAGGTGGGGCTGGCAGGGCCCAGGCAGAAGCCGCTCATGAGCAGAAATGAATAATGAACGTGGAAACCAACACAGCGTGAAAACCTTCAAATAACGGCTGCTGCTGTCAGACTGCAGAGCTGTCTAAATGGTTATCTTAGAGCGGTCAAAGGTGAGGATGGAACTCACGCCCACAACAGAGAGCACTGTGGCCTCGGGGCCTGCAGATGGAAGCCCTTCACAGTCAACCCTGGACACTGAGCCGGCGGCCCCAGAGCCTCCAAGGTCCTCCTTTGCAGGCACCCAGGGGAGAAAGGGCCCTCGGCCATATCCTCTGCATCAGGAAGCCAGCAGGTGTGTGACGGGGTCCTCCCAGAGGGGTCGCAGTGGTGGGTCCTGGGGCTCCCATGGAGGGCACGGGTGTGAATACAGAGGATGCACTGGCCCATCAAAGGCGCCAAAGAACGGGAGGGACGGCAGCATGCTGGGTGCTGCTGAGTCCCAGATCTCAAACTAGTTCGGGAGCCTGGACTCTGACAAGGTCAATCGAGACTGCATCTAAAAGAATGAAATTTAATACTAACGGAAGTTAAGGAACGCAGGTAGAATCCAAAGTCAGACTACAAGGCCACGCACGTGACTGCAACTTAGGATCGCCCTAATGCGCGTGCCACAGCAGGTACATCAGTGAAGCCAGCGCCCAGAACAGGGCGGAGACGTCTCCAGTCCGCATGGCTCCACCTGCTGTGAACGTCCCGGGTGCTGTCCATGGCCAGAGGAGAAGCATCGGAATCAGGACATGTCTGGAAACCATAACCCAGGGGCAAGGCAAATAGAGCAGAGAGCGCTCAGCCAAGACAGGGCCCTGGCAACCCCAGGCAGTGAGATTCAAGTCACACCAGGAAGAATCTGTTCTCAAGGTTCTGTCTGGACCCAGCAATGTTTTCTGTGTGGGGTTTGTGCAGCCTCAGCCAATCACTCCTGGGGGTTATGGCAGAGATTCCCACTGGGTTGGGGAGCTGAATTCGATGCCTGCTAAGATTTCTTTCCCACTCGGTATTTGCTACCCACAGAGTGGGGAGTCCATGAACAAAGCGGGCTGCCCAATAGCGGCTGCAGGATCGCAGGGCAGGCTGAGCTGCACTTGGTTACCAGGGCCTGGGCCTGCCGCGCCGAGTAGGACAAGTCGGGGGGTCTCGGAGTCACAGAGCAGGAGCACCTCACCAACAGCCAAGGACCCGGGGGCTGAGGGCCAGGGGCCAGGGGCCAGGGGGCAGGGCCAGCCCAGACCACCCCTCTGCCCTGCATTCAGCCCCCGCCTCACCAGGCTGTCCCAGGAGGAAGTGGCAAGAGCAGTGACTTGCCCAGGTGGCCGGGGAAGGTGTCTTGCACAATCCTCTGAGAGGAAGTTGGATCTTTGGCATCCTGGCAGCCCCAGCCCTACCTCACTGCTCTCTTCCCAGCAGGCAGAACACAGTTTCTATACACACAGCATTTACATCTCTCCCAGCACACAAGACAGACTTAACGCATTCTAGGAAACTGCAGACATGAATCCCCGAGGGCAGGGGTCCCCAGCCCCCAGCCACAGATGGGTACCCGTCCATGGCCTCTAGGAGCCAAGCTGCACAGCGGGAGGTGAGCCATGGGCAAGCGAGCGAAGTTTCATCTGTATTTCCAGCCACTACCCATTGCTCGCACGACCGCTGGCGCTCCGCCGCCTGTCAGCTCAGCTGGGCCGTGATTCTCACAGGAGCGTGAACCCTGTTGTGAACTGTGCATGTGAGGGAGGGCCCTAGGTTCGAGCTCCTTATGAGAATCTAATGCCTGATGATCTGTCACTGTCTCCCATCACCCCCCGCCATGGGGCCGCCTAGTTACAGGAAAACAAGCTCAGAGCTAGCACTGATTCTGTATTATGCCAAGTTGTATAATTATTTCATTATATATTACAACGTAATAAAACAGCAATGAAATGCACAGTAAGTAAGGGCAATGTGCTTGAATCATCCTGAAACCATCCCCCCACTCCCAGTCCGTGGAAAAATTGTCTTCCACCAAACTGGTCCCTCGTACCAACAAGCTTGGGGACCCACAGGGTGTTTTCTACTTCTGAAAGGCTGAGAAAGCTGTGGGATAGGACTGGCTTGGCCAGGGACGAGGACCAGCTGGAGGGCAGCTGTGCCATTGACCCTCCATCTGCCCACCAGGGACGCATTTCTCTGGCATCTCTTACAGCCAGGAACCACCTCCGCTTGTCCGTGGACAGACAGTGCGAAGAGCGGGCAGCCGAGAGGTGGAGAAAGGCAGGGGCCACAGTAAACCTCCCATTCCCTTGAGGACACAGGGTCAGGCCACTTATTCTGAAACTGGTTCTGTAACAGGACGATTTAGGAATGAATCGATACAGGCAACGTTTGGTGCCAGTTTGCAAATGAGTTTGAAAAACATTGTTTCACCTAATCGTTGCTGCCTATGTTGTGTAATGACTTTTACAACACAAAACTTACTTTATTACTGGCTGCAAATGAAGAAAGAAGACACAAAAAGTACTGAGCATGGAGGCATTTTGTGGTGGCTGCCAGCAGGCACCATGCAGCTGTGAAGGGCGAGTTGTACTCACTTTGCATCCGTGGTGGCCACGGTGTCTGCCCTGGGCTTTGCCCTCAGAAGTGCACTCCTCATTTTCATCTCCGCTGTGGAGGGGAGGAGAACGGGCGCCACGATGCAGAACAGCGACAGTCGCGGGGGGAGCACGGCTCCCGACGGTGCCTTCTTCTTCTGTCCAAACAGGAATTTCAGTTTTCCTTGAAACTGCATCGTCTGGTGTTTTAAAGATAGAGAGGAAGGCGTGTTCACAAAGTGCCCTGGCAAGGTGGTCACAGGACACAGAACTCAAGGATGTGACAGTGGCTGCAATTCACAGGGAGGCAGCTCACCATGAGCGGCTAGGGACAGCAGAGCAGCAGCTGCCAAGCCTGCGACTCCAGGGCCTGTGCAGTGATTCCATGTGCTTGAGTCATCCTGAAACCATTCCCCACTCCCAGTTTCTCTGGAGTCGTGGCAACTGCCTTTGATTGACTGGTTCGTTCCTGCGTGTGTGCTTGTGCACGTTCATGTGCGCCATGCCATGCACAGGTGGGCATGAATTGCACCTGCGGGACCTGCCACCCACCCACAGCCGGGCCAGCAGCCAACCCTCTGGCAGGAATTTGCAGGAATGGATTATCTCCAAAGATTGTTTCAGCTTTAACACGCCATTTACAAATTATGAATTCTTCATTTGTAATGATAAAATTTAGGTACAACTTGGTTTTATTTATCTAGGGTGTACAGTGTGATTTTAAAAGCCAGCAAGTAACCTAGGAGTTTGTTATAAAAGAAAATAAAATATCTCTCTACAAACGGAAGGCTGATGTATCATTTACTTGTTTACCAAAGGCCTTCAGGGGTACTGCCTTCTATGGAAGAATGACCCCACAATGTGGCTCCACCCCCTCTCTATCCTTATTTCATCCATCTTTCCATCCATCCATCCATGTTTCCATCCATCCATTTCCCATCCATCTGTTCATCTTCCCATCCATTCATCCATCCACCCATCCATTCATCCATCCATGTTTCCATCCATCCATTTCCCATCCATCTGTTCATCTTCCCATCCATTCATCCATCCACCCATCCATTCATCTATCCATGTTTCCATCCATCCATTTCCCATCCATCTGTTCATCTTCCCATCCATTCATCCATCCACCCATCCATTCATCTATCCATGTTCCATCCATCTGTTCATCTTCCCATCCATTCATCCATCCACCCATCCATTCATCTATCCATGTTTCCATCCATCCATCATATTCCCATCTACCATCCATCCATCCATCCATCATCTTCCCATCCATCCATGCACCCATCAATCTGTCCGTCTAGCCATCCATCCACCCATCCGTCTATTTATCCATCCATCCATCCACCCACCCACCCACCCATCCATCTGTCCATCCATCCATCCGTCCATCCATCCACCTTTCCATTTGTCCATCTATCCACCCACCCATCCATCTTCCCATTCATCCATCCATCCGTCCATCTATCCATCCATCATCTTCCCATCCATTCATCCATCCGTCATCTTCCCATTCATCCATTCACTCATCCATCCATTCACTCCCATCTTCTCTATCCAACCATCCATCCATCCATTCATCCATCTTTCCATCTGTCCATCCATCCATCTACCTTCCCATCTATCCAACCATCCATCCGTTCATCTATCTTTCCATGTGTCCATCTATCCATCCATCTTACCATCCATCCATCCATCCATCATCTTCCCATCCATCCATCCCTCCATCTTCTCATCCATCCATCCACTCATCCACTCATCCATCCATCCATCCATCTACCCATCCATCATCTCCCATCCATCCATCCATCCGTCATCTTCCCATTCATCCATTCACTCATTCATCTATCCATCCATCCATCTTCCCATCTATCCAACCATCCATCCATCCATTCATCTATCTTTCCATCTGTCCATCCATCTATCCACCCATCCATCTTCCCATTCATCCATCCATCTTCCCATCCATCCATCTTCTCATCCATCACCCACTCATCCACTCATCCATCCATCCATCCATCCATCCATCCATCCATCCATTCATCTACCTTTCCATCTGTCCATCCATCCATCCACCCATCCATCTTCCCATCCATCCATCCATCCATCCATCCATCCATCCATCCATCTTTCCATCTGTCCATCCATCCATCCACCCATCCATCTTCCCATCCATCCATCAATCATCTTCCCATCCATCCATCCACCCATCCATCTTCTCATTCATCCATCCACTCATCCATCCATCCATCCATCCATCCATCCATCCATCCATCCATCTTCCCATCTATCCAACCATTCACCCATCCATTCATCCATCTTTCCATCTGTCCACGTATATATTAAAGAAATAATAAACACCTGCTGTGTAGCACTCACACAATTGGTGTGGGGGATTCAAGGCAGTGGTGTGCTGGAAAATGTTTAACATCTAGTTCTCCGGGGGAAAACTTCCCAGATATGCAGCGTTTGCTAATTTCTTTAGTATAAATATTCCCAACACGGCTGACTTCAAGCTCCCCAGTTAATTTCAGCCAAATCTCAAAGACTACCATTTTCAGCTGGCCCTGTGGCATGAGGGAGCTTCCATGACACCCACATTGCCCAGACTGCACCACTTAGGGTGGAAGCTGGGAAGAGCTGTGAGGTCCTGCAGGGTCTTGGTATGTTCTCTGTCAATACAGGAGCCCTTTATGGTGCTGTGGATGAATGGATTTTAATGGGAAAACAGAATCAGACACTTATTCGTATAAACCTCATTGCAACATTTTAGCATCAATCTAATTTCTCTGGCTTATTTCCTCCATTCAGTTCTTTGTTTGACAATTTCATTTTAAACTATATTCCACTGGCTGCACAGTAAAATCCTTCCAATTTTGTGTCATCTAGAAATAAGAGTTTTTAATTAACCAGGAATTGGTTATATAATTTTTAAAAATGAACAACATTCCTTAGCCAATAAAAGTAAGTATCTTAATTTCCACAAAATATAGAATAAAATACCAATGGTGAAACCCTTTCTCTACTAAAAATACAAAAAAATTAGCCGGGCGTGGTGGTGGGCGCCTATACTCCCAGCTATTCGGGAGGCTGGGCTGAGGCAGGAGGATGGCGTGAGGTGGAGGTGGAGCTTGCAGTGAGCTGAGATCGCGCCACTGCACTCCAGGCTGGGCAACAGAGCGAGACTCTTGTCTCAAAAAAAAAAAAAACCTTTATTGTCACTAGTTACCTAAATGAAAGCTTTGCCCTGGGGCATGTTTGTGGCAGCAGATCTAGGGCCTGTGGAGAGCTGGTCCTTCCACCAGGCACCCAGTGGGTGGGAAAGAGACAGAAACAGGCAGACCCACAGGTGCCTCTGCCGTGGGGATGGTCTGCACCCGAGGTCCCCAGGAGGTCATGGGTCCCCATATGGGTGGAAAGCTGAGCCCAAGGGGCCTGCCCAGCTAGGGTGCTGGGGTGAGAGGGCCTTGTGGCATTGAATTGCAGCCAGGAGACAGCAGGGGCCACCACTGGGCCTCTCAGGGGCCGTGACCCAGGGTTGACTGTGCTGCGACCCAGGGGAAGTACAGTGCCTCAGGGGTCTGAAAGGTGGGCAGGGGTCTGGGACAGGGTGGGAGGCCTTTGCCCTGACATGTCCAATGGGGAGGATTTCTCTGATTCAATGAGTAGCTGGAAGAAGAAATAGTCAAATAGCACAAGTGAAAATCCCAAGTATCTGTTTGCAAGAGAAGAGGGTGAAACCAAAAAGCTCGGCAGTAGCCGTGGGCTCAGTCACTCATGCCAGCCACAGCCAGAGGCTCTCCCAGCTTGCCAGCCCTTGGCAGAGGTGGGGCACATTTTAAAAAATATTTTAATAAGTTACAAATAAAGAAACTACTAGAGTATAAACCTACTGCAGAGTTTTACATTTTCATCGACCTGGCTTGTCCACCACAGCAGGCCTCACAGTTGACTCATCATGCATCCCCTCGCATGCTCAGAGCCGTCAAGGCCCCATACCATCCCAGCGTGCACAGAGCTCAGCGCCAGCCCTCGCCCCTCTACCAGGGACACGTGGGTTAACGCCCCCACCTCCTCTTGCCCTCTGTTTCCTTCCACCCCAGGGCAGAATGCACCCCAGATGTCGGGAGCCCCCTGCCAGGGGCCCACACACTCACCAGGAAGCCCGAGGTGCTGTCCAGCAGGCAGCGCACACGGCAGATGAAGCAGCGGGTCAGGAAGGCTGAGTACTCGGTGGGCGCGCCTGCTCCCCACTCCTGGGCCCTGAGAAGCCTCCCCAGGATGGCGTCATCTCCTGCAGACCATAGTGGCCAAGGGGCGTGGTGGTGGGAGAAGCCAAAACACACAGGTCACACGCACAACTGCATGCGCAGAGCACGCAACAAACACACCCATGGCTCTCATATGCAAGGTCATGTAAACACTATCACCGCGCGCTCCTCCTGCGCCCAGCATCCTTCTAGACGTCGCTCGGACAAATTTTGCCTTCATCATGCCTTGCCTTTAAAAACATCGTTTTTAGTACATGCGCATGCACGATGATGGACCGATGGTTTCATCTTGCTTGTTTTTAGCTTTATAAAAGGGTCTTCCATGTAGGTGCCTGGGCTTTGCTGTTTGATTTAAGGTCAATCATACTGTCACATGAGGTGGTGGTGGAAACCTTTCGTGAATTATTTTAGGCTTCTGTGGATATGTGCGAGAGAACCCAGGAGTCACCCTCTGCACAGGACCCCAGGCAGGTGTCGCCTCTCCTCAGAGCCCAGATGCAACTGTCCCAGCAGAGCCCCTGCCTGTCACTGCCTGTCAAGGACCTCCACACCTGCCGGGCTCATCTTACCAGTCAGAGCCACAGGGAGGTTGGGGGCAAGCCCTGTGCAGAGGTCTTCTGTGAAAAGGGGCAACCAACTCTGAGTAGCAACCATCTTTCAGGGACTTTTATCGGATAACTCTAGAATGAAGCAAAGAAACTTCCTGGCAGACATGAGACTTGAGGGGAGTTTGCAAAACAAGAGGCCAGGACTGCAGCTCGTGATGAGGTGACAAGAATGGCGGTGACCTCAAGCCTGGCAGAGCCCAGGCAAGCAACCAGGAGTGAAGCACACTCGAGCCACACGGAGCTGGTGCAGCCCAACCAGAGGACAGTGAGGGACACGGGAGGAGGTCTCTGAAGAAAGGTGAGATTTGGCGCTAAGGTCAATGTGGAAGGCAAAGCACACCAAGAAGGCACGACAGGGTCATTTCCAGAGGCAGTGACGTGTTATGTGACCTGCTCTAGGTTTTGGTGACTCACTTGGACCCCAGACACCCACCTGTCTCCAAGGGCGGGGGCTGCCCAAACACCACCTGGGGAGGGTCCATGGCCCAGTGGAGCTGCCGGCAGAAGTCCTGGCGGTCGTCCACGTGGATGTAGTCGTAGATGTTCTGGTGCATGACGTCTGTCTGAAATAGCGCAGCAAGGTTATTTCAGCCTTACCCCAAGTGGCTTTACACACTTTATTCCACTGATGAGTAACCGAAAAACTTCCACTCCACTTGTCAAAGCAAGTCACAGCCACAGGGAAAGAATCCCACTGAAAAGACAGCGCTTGACCCCGGGCCCCCGCTCCCTCCTGGGAAGACGCCTGTCTGAGTTGCCTGGAGCACCTGCCCATCCGTCTGCCCACCAAGTGGTGCCCACATCCAGCCTTTGAGGGCAAGCGGGAGGCTAAGAGATGGGCATCTTCTGGGCCACAGACACTGTGGGGCCAAGACATCCACTTTCCTGTCGACTTAGACTCTTTGTGACTCCGTTTCCCATCACTTCACATCTTATGGCTGGTGATTTCCTCCTTCCTGACACCCAGGCCTCAACCTTCACCCACTTTCACGAAGTCTCAAGGACCAGTTCACAGGCCTCTCTCTAGTCCGCTCTCCTTCCACCCGCTCAGAAGCAAATCTGGGCCTTGACATAGAGGCTGACCCTCACAGGCACCCAGGGTCCATGTCCGGCGACAGAGGCTGACACTGTGTGCCACGAAGACTGACTTCAAGGGGGACCCAACTGTCACCACTGCCCGTGAGCGTGTCTGCGCCTGAGGAAGGCTGGCCATCCCACCGCCCTCTCCCTTCTCCTAACTGAAGAAAGTCAGGCATCTGCACCTGCAGCCTGGCCCGCACACTCCCGCCCCGCCCCCGAATAATTAACCCTGCCAGGGGCTGCTAGAACCTCAGGACTCTTTCAGGGTGACCTAACTCTAAGTGGCATTTGTTATCATGATAATAACCAAGCGGTTCTTCCTAACTGGAGGGGAAGCTCCTTAAGAATCAAGACTTCAGAGGAACGTAATAAACTCACCCTAAAGGGACGAGCATCTTCAGGCAACCCAGTGGGAAGGACCCGCGGGGCTCCCGGAACAAGACGAGACACAGCCTCAGGAGGGCAGGGGGAGGCCCTCACTCAAGGGCCTGGACTCCAACCGCCTGTGCCTCCGCAGTTCCCTTCTGAGAATGCGCTGTCACGGCGAGCGGCGTACAGAGGAACAGAGACCCCTCGGGGTGAACCGGGCTGCGCCAGCCTCCCCCCAGCGCACTCCTCCGGGCTCTGCCATCATACAGAGGAACAGAGACCCCTCCAGGTGAAACGGGCCGCGCCAGCTTCCCCCCCACCCCGTGTACTCCTCGGGGCTGCCTTCAGGGCCTTCCTAAGGACTCGTAACTGGAGGGTGACCTCGGCCAACAAGCGCCCAATCACGAACACACAGTTGGGTGAGTCACCTTCAAGAAAACACCCCGCGGGACCCCACCCAGATGAGGCCACAGGGCGGCGCCGGCACCCGCAAGGCTGTTTCTGCCTCTGAGTCGGCGCCCTCCGTGTGGGGGCTGGTTCTGCGCCGCGGACTCCACGAGGAGGGAGGGTACCCGCCAGCATCCCCCTGCCCCGCATCGGCATCGCCACCGTGAGGCAGCTGCTGAACCGCGGGATGGGCGCTGTGGACAAGGAGGCCCTGGGTCTGCAAGGGCCTCCTGACCGGCACAGCCGGGCGCCAGCCGCAGCCTCCCAGGCGGGGAAGCTCCTCTTCCAGTTAAGGCTGGAACACTCCAGCGGCTGCACCTTCTGGCCAGTGTTTGTCCTTTTCCTCTTTATCTTTTAGTCACTGCGGTGGATAGGCCATGCTTCTTGCTACGGTTTCAACTTTCCACGTCCTGAACCATAAGAAGGACCATCTTGTATATTTCACGTGTTCAGCGGTGCCAGCGTGTGTGTGGCGTGTGTGGGTGCGTGGGTGCCTGCGTGCGTGGGTGCGTGCGTGGGTGGGTGCGTCCGTGGGTGCATGCGTGCGTGTGTGGCTGCGTGCCTGGGTGCGTGCGTGCGGCGCGGACGTGTCTCTTTCTGGAATCCCCACTGAACTGTCCAGCTGCCTTGCCCAGTCCTTTCTGGGCCGCCTTTCATGCAAGGTGTCCGGCTGCCATCCTGCCCTCCTGATGGACACCACGAGGCCCAACCCACCGTCCTCTCTGCGTGGGGAGGGCTTTTTCCTGAGAAATCTTCCCTCATAGATCTAGCTCTGCTGTTATCTTCTGGAAACTTCCATCATGCCCTGAAGCTGTCTGTGGTGTGAGCCACGACTCAAGACCAGCTTCCTCCTGCAGGGATGCAGCTCGCCCAGCGCCTGCAGTGCCGCCTCCGTTCAGCTGCCAATGCCCCGGCAGCCAGTGTCTGGTGAGCTCCTCCCAGCCTCAGGGCTCCCTCTTTCTCCTTGACTTCCTGTTACCAGGGGATTGTCTTCGTAGGGCTCTGTTAATTCAGGGGCTAGGAAGCAATGCGGGGTTTAGGCTTCCATCCCATCCTGTTCTATGAAAACAGGATTTCCCAAACCCAGGACTTCACAGCTCTCTTATCATCAAGTAGCCACAGCTCCTCCTTTAGTGTTCACTCCCGATACTGGAATATTTCGCAATCAAAACCCGCTTCTCCTCCAGGAACTGCACGGTTCTGCCGCTCTATGGCGGCAGCCTCAGGGCCCATCAGAGGGAGCTTAGCTACATAACCACCATGGCGTCCCCTACCGCGGCGTTGCCTCTCATGTTTCCGCAGGATCTCCAGGCTGAAGGACGCAGCGTGTGAGAAGTTTAACAAATACACACCCACATCCCGATGGCCAGAAAAGGGGATCCACAAGGAACCTTTCAGAGTTCTTATCCAAACCACTCTACCTCCCGGTTCCACATCTTCCAATCCACGTTACACCCGGGCATACGTAACACAAATCCACGTTCCACTCAGGCATACGTAACACAAATCCACGTTCCACTCAGGCATACGTAACACAAATCCACGTTACACCCGGGCATACGTAACACAAATCCACGTTCCACTCAGGCATACGTAACACAAATCCGGCATACGTAACACAAATCCACGTTCCACTCAGGCATACGTAACACAAATCCACGTTCCACTCGGGCATACGTAACACAAATCCACATTACACCCGGGCATACGTAACACAAAACCAAGGAAACAAAGACCCAGGTTTCTTTCCCCTTCTGAGTTAGAGATCTTACGACATTTGTTTCACAGCTTATGGAAAATGGTGTGGGGACACTTCCGGTAAACGGGGTTGGCAACAAACAGAAACACCAACCCCATCAGCTCTTGCCGGCCAGCCTGTTGGTCCCCGTGCAGTAAGAGCCGGGCACCTTGGAGGGCCCCGGCTCTGCCAGGACAATGGGAAACACGGCTCCAAACACTCCTGTGTGAGCTCTGACACGTTTTAGTGCCAGCTTTTTAAAACTGAAACGCAGAGGAACCAGTGTCCAGAGGCAACCGACATTCCCCTTACACTTGCTGCCATCCCTAATTTCTTCATTTATAAATGTTGCTTAAAAGACTAAAACTCCCAGCCAGGCACAGTGGTTCATGCCTGTAATCCCAGCACTTTGGGAGGCCAAGGTGGGCGGATCACTTGAGGTTGGGAGTTCAAGACCAGCCAGGCCAACATGGTAAAGTCCTGTCTCTACCAAAAATACAAAAATTAGCCAGGTGTGGTGGCGCACACCTGTAATCTCAGCTACTCAGGAGGCTGAAGCAGGAGACTTGCTTGAACCAAGGAGGCAGAGGTTGCAGTGAGTTAAGATTGTGCCGCTGTGCTTCAGCCTGGACGACAGAGCAAGACTCTGTCTCAAAAAAACAAAAAAGAAAAAAAATTCCCATTCCTTTTAAAAAATAGATGCTTGCCCTCAGCCCCAACGGCCACAGGCAAAGACTTATTTCCCAGTAGAAGAGAGAGCCTCCTTCATCTTTGTGGTCACGGTCAGGGTGAGGCACACGAGGTCATCTGCAACCATGGTCACGTGGCCGGCAGCTGCTGCTTCACCTGGAGCCCTCACTCCCTGCATGTTGGGAATCTGGCTTTGTCATTGCAAGGCCTGGTGCCCCAAGCCCAGCGGTCCTGGGACTTCTCCAACTCACCAGTCACCAAGGCCTGGGCTTGTACCAGAGGCACATGGCAGTGCTGGAGGCCTGGGTGCACCTGCTGCACGGGCACCTGGCTGTCCTCACAGTAGCTGGTGCTGCACCAGATCATGAGGCCCTGCATCTTCCGGAGCTCGCTCGCTCTCCAGTTCTTCACCGCGGAGTCGCCTCCTCCTGCACCGGAGCAGCCGCAGCCCCGTGCTGGCGACCCCACGCTGCCCCACACCGAAATGGTCCTCGCATGAGTTTCCACAGGCAACCCTGAGCTTTGGAGGCCCCCGGAAGGTGAACCCCAGCACCCTCCCTGAGCAGCCCCAGGCCTGCCCGAGCGCCTCACCCATCATCTCCAACCCCGCAGTCAGGTAACGAAAGGGAATTCAACAAGTGAGAAAGGGCTGCTGCTCAAGACAGGCGCGCGTAGCAGAGCTGGAAAGAGTTCTCTAACTGAGGCAAATCTGAAGACAGGGTGAAACATAAATCCTGTTTAGGTTGAGGAAACAAAGTTCTGTGTTTTATCATCAGTGTGGCATGTCTGCCCTAAGTCTGTCTTAATCTTTTAAAGTCTGATTCCTACAAAGTGACATCAAGATACACGGTGGGAGAAGTGGGAGGGGGAGAGCACGACATTAACATTATCCAAATCGTACAAAAACAAACCCTCCTTTCATCAAGTAAAGACAGTCTTTATTTTAGCTTTACACCACCACTTAGGGAGTTTAGAATAAAATCATTTCCAATTTTAATATGCTGCTCACTCTAGCAGCTAACATTTTTACCTTTTTGTGCAAAAGCTTGCACACATCAGCTAACCATGCCTGTGGGATTCTAACTGCTCTGATTGACGAGCTCTAATGTTTGAGAGAACGAACAACTTCTTGAATCAACAAATGTCAATGGCAACTAAAATATACACCTAAAGCCATTTATTCCTCACTAAGCTTGCTGAGCTTGAAGACACTGAAATCATGCACTCACGCTGTGACCGGGAATAATTGGTTCCTGACTTTTTGTAAAGCATTTTGCACAATAAACTCACACAAGCTCAAAGCTGTTCTAATATTTTCATGAGATATGCTGCATAAACTAGAGGCAATGCCTGATTTAATGGCATTTGGAACCAATTTCCTCACAATCAAGGCGAAACTTTTTTTCTTTTTTTAACTTCTCATGCTTGGGGGAAAATGACCAAGCGCCAAGAAAACAGAAAGCCCAATTAGCAAAAGCTCTGACCTGGAATCAGAGCTGCTCTGTACGGCACCTGCCCCTGTCCCCAGAGCCGAACCCCGGAGTGAGACCATCGAGCCATGGCTAAAGGCAGCGGCTCTGGGTGCGACTGGAGAACTCAGGGCAGCTCAGGATGCAGTGACTAGAGTTGACGGTGATTCTGAGCATGCAAAAGGCAGAGCAAGCGGCCGTCTCTAGACTCAGGCCCTGCACACACAGACCACGCCGAAGCTGCTCTGCTTAGGTAGAGAGTCACCGAGCCACACCCTCATGTCTGCCCACGTCCTGTCCTTCGAGTGCTCCCCTGTTCAGTGAAGGATGCACCAAAGCCCAGCAAACGCATACGGACCCACTCCACAGCTCTCTGCGTGTAAAGGAAAAATCCCACGGGCAGCTCCATGGGATTGGAGCACAGAAGATGGAGATGAAGAGGATGCCGGGTGGCCACCCAGATGCTCGTGCCATCTGTGGGAATGAGGGACCCACCAGTCGTCACTCCAGGTCCCCTCTCATAGAGCACGTCAGGAGATGAAAGTGCCCCAACTACAGACACCAGGGCACACTCAGCAAAGCCTGTGGTCACGCGGTGTCAACAGCAGCCGCCTAGAGTGATGTCCCTCTGTGGTGGGAGACGCAGCGCCCGGCACCAGGGCTTTTTCCAGCACTCCCCTGCTCAGTGGCCCTGTGGTCTGGCCACAGCCTGGCAGGCAGACACTGCTGCTGGCCATGGTGTGGGCACAGGAAATGAGGCTCAGAGCCATCGAGGTCGCTACTGGGACAGCAGAGCTGTGTCTCCACCCTGCACTGCGTTCCCAACAGGACAGTGGCCTGGACACCCCTTGGCAGCCATGCCCACTGCACGGTGCTTCCTCGCCCTGCACACAGCCATGTCCCCCTGCGTCCTCCACCAGGGCTGGCCCAGGTGTGCTGACGAGCTGCACCTTCACGTGGACGCTGGGGGAGAGGCCATCCGGAGGAGGCATCCAGTGTGCAGAGAGCGCCGCGGTGCAGAAAACAAGCTCACTGCAATGAGCCCGGTGGTCACGCAGTCCCTGCAGTTCACAGGGAGACCGGCCTGGGCTCAGGGGCAGGAGGTTGGACTTAGGGGCAGAGTAGAGGAGCTGCTTTGCAGAGTTACCAGCAGGCAGCAGCGACTTCAGCTGTGGGGAAATTCAAAATCCTGGCTCTCATGGAAACTGGATAGAACTCTGTGCAGCCTCAGGGCCTGGGCAGACATGAATTCTAATGACTCGTCAGGGACTAGTGTGGGTGAGCGGGGTGGTTCGTGGCTTCCACTGACTGCTGCCCTGCACAGCCCCTAGAGGCTTCCCACCTGACCGGGGGATGCAGCCGTAGGCTTCCCACCGGGGGATTCAGCCCCGAGGCTTCCCACCTGACCGGGGGGATTCAGCCGTAGGCTTCCCATCTGACCAGGAGATTCAGCCCCGAGGCTTCCCACCTGACCGGGGGGATGCAGCCCCTAGACTTCCCACCTGACCGGGGGGATTCAGCCGTAGGCTTCCCATCTGACCGGGGGGATTCAGCCCCTAGGCTTCCCACCTGACTGGGGGGATTCAGCCCTAGGCTTCCCACCTGACCAGGAGATTCAGCCCCGAGGCTTCCCACCTGACCGGGGGGATTTAGCCGTAGGCTTCCCATCTGACCAGGGCGATTCAGCCCCGAGGCTTCCCACCTGACCGGGGGGATTCAGCCGTAGGCTTCCCACCTGACCGGGGGGATTCAGCCGTAGGCTTCCCATCTGACCGGGGGGATTCAGCCCCTAGGCTTCCCACCTGACCAGGAGATTCAGCCCCAAGGCTTCCCACCTGACCGGGGGGATTCAGCCCTAGGCTTCCCACCTGACCGGGGGGATTCAGCCCTAGGCTTCCCACCTGACCAGGGAGATTTTTCACTTTAATCACCCCATGTGCTGCCTCTCGCTCGGCGTGAATGCTGGCTCTGGGACCATTTCCTCACAGGCAGAGGTGCTGGGCACTACAGGGGGCAGGGCTTCCCCTGGGGCCTCCCGCTCCACCGGTGTGCACCCCACAGTGTCACAGCTTCCCCCAGCGCCCAGCGGCCTCCAGATGCGCATCTCACCTGGGTCCCAAAGGGAAGCTTCCTACCAGCCAGCCCTGGCCTGAACATCTTGGGAACTTCTCCACAGCCCAGGTCATGGCCCCACCCTGTGCCACCGAGGGTCTGGCTCTCAGCCTCAGTGGGGCTGGGGTTTCCAAGACGGCCCCTGCCTGGGCCCTGTGCACACTGCTGCCCTTCTGTTGCTGTATCTGTGTCCTCAGAGTCCTTTTAGTCCTTTGTGGCTGAGCTGGTGCTACTGGTTAACACTTCCTTACACTAAACCCATCGTAAGTCTTTCTATAAAACTGTTCAAATTTCTGCACAGTTTCTGTCTCCAGACTGAACCCTAATACACAACTCTCTACTTTTCAAAGTTTTGTTTTGATCTTTCTCAAACATATCTGTTATTTTTTTCATCATATGCTGTGCTTTCTTTATACTGCTGCTTTTATCTTCTATTGTTTTAAATCTGTCTGTTTGCCAGTTTCCTTTGGACGGCTTTGTTCCTTAAGTTCTTCCAGGAATCAGGCTTTGTTTACCTGTCTGCTGGCTCCTGCTCACCATCTATGGCTTCCTTGGGTTTATTACTCGCACCGTGAGCTCATCTGCAGGGTGGGTATTTTTGTGGGATTGGCTTGTGAAAGTGCAGATAAAGGGCCCCATTTTTGCTTCTTTGGGTTCTCCAGTCATCTCATCAGTCTGCAGTATGCCTGAGATCCAGATCCTGGGAGTCCTTGCCGTGCAGTGGGAGAAATCTTAATTCTACAACCGGCATCTGATTTTCCGTGAGGGACCCCAGCTCCTTTCGAGACAGAAAAACAGCTCCCTTGCTCCCCTCCTGGCCTCGAGTCAGATTTGTTTGTTTGTTTGTTTGTTTGTTTGAGAAGGAGTCTCACTCTGTCACTCAGGCTGGAGTACAGTGGCTTGATCTCACCTCACTGCAAACCTCTGCTTCCCGGGTTCACGCTATTCTCCTGCCTCAGCCTCCCTAGTAGCTGGGACTACAGGTGCCTGCCACCACACCTAGCTAATTTTTGTATTTTTAGTAGAGACAGAGTTTCACCATGTTGGCCAGGCTGGTCTCGATCTCCTGACCTGGTGATCCACCCGCCTCGGCCTCCCAAAGTGCTGGGATTACAGGCGTGAGTCCCTGCGCCTGACCGGGTGGGATTTTTTATCGCACCTTTTCCTGGGTGAGTTGCCCTTCCAGGGCTTGGTATCTGACGAGGCCTCAACCCCATTCTCGGCCTGGAAGTCTGGAGTCATCCACCTGGGGCTGACCGAGCAGCACTCCAAGTGAACCACTCCCATGTCAGGAAGGGCATTTCCAGAACAAGCTGTGTCCTGAGTGCACCGGGAAGACGTTAAGACGTTGACTGGGAGTGGATGAATGGGATGGCGCTGCTGGGGCAGGGGACCTAGCGGAGTGCCTGAGCCAGAGGAGACCAGGCCGCTGTCCAAGCGCCGCGGCTCCCTTAGACCAGAGCACCCCGACACTGAGCGGCCTCACACCGAGACCCCGAACCCAGGCTGGAAGAAACACTGCCCTGGACAAAGCTGGAGTGTGGAGATCTTTATCTGATAAGAGTTCAGTGATAGGACAAACCCGATTTTAGACATTTGTCAAACCTTGAAGACAACAAACATTTACAAAGGGAAGAGAGCCTAGCACTTAACAGACTGGAGGGTTATTCTGGTTTCATTTACCTGATGGAAGCCCAGATAGTCCACGATCGTTGCTGACGCATAAAATATCGTCCCTTCTGCACTCACGACCAGAGCAAAGCCATTAAGAGACTAGAAGAAAAAACAAAAAAAATCAAATTGGCTCACCCAAAATGAAAAAGTGCAAGCATCATTTGCTTAAATTTTCAACAATATTCTTCTGTTTTGTAGTCCATATTCATAACCTCTAGAAATGCCCACTTTTTGTTTGTTTATTACCATTTTGTCACAGGCTCCAAGTTAACAGGCAACATGAGAAGGTAGCCATGGTTTACACGGCCCCTTTTCTAATAAATATAAAATTATGTGTTATAAAATATGCACCTTGTCTTGGCGCGACAGTGAGACTTGGTACCTAAGACAAGGCAGGAGCTCTCCGTTCTCCTCTGCAGACGTTTCCGCCCCTGTAGCTCCTTCCACACACTGTCTGGAATACTCTTTGCTTTTCTAAGGATTTTTATTGTGAAAAATGTTGAACTCCATCGACCAGCCTGGCTAACATGGTGAAACCCTGTCTCTACTAAAAGCACAAAAATTAGCCGGGTGTGGTGGTGCTACTTGGAAGGCTGAGGCAGGAGAATTGCTTGAACCCGGGAGGTGGAGGTTGCAGTGAGCCGAGGTCACGCCACTGCCCTACAGCCTGCGCAATGGAGTGAGACTCTGTCTCAAAAAAAAAGAGAGAGAAAAATATTGAACTCCATCAGGTGTTTTTCTGCATCTACTGAAACAATCACAATTTTTATTTTGTGTATGATTGACAGATTTTCTGATGGTGCATCATTCTTGTACTTTATGAGGTAAGCTTCTTTGATCATGACTTTTTAATATGCTCTTGGAATTGATTAACCTCACTTAGGGGTTATCCATCTATGTTTAAACTTGGCCTGTAGTTTCTCTGCGTAGTTTGCACACGGTATACACCACCATCAAGACATGAGTCACTCCTGCCCCTTTCCTTCCATTCTCTGGACCCACTTAAGATGAGGGTGATGTGCTTCTGGAAGGCCTGGTCCACCTCACTCTGAAGACCCTCTAGTGTGGGCACATTTTGCGGAGATGGTAGATGAAACGGGGCAGATTTTAACACCACGTTGATTTATTTATTGTTACTGTATGCAAGTTCTTTATTTTTTCTTACATTAACTATGGCATCTTAAAATACTTTCTAGAAACTCATTTCATTTTGATGTTAAATTCAGCCGTGTATGTTATTCACAATATTTGTATGATTATTACATCTTAGTTACAGCCGTAATTATTGTGGGATTTTGGAGGGAGCAGATGGAGAAGGCAAGGATGTGGCTGTGCTGTGCTTGATGTGACGTTTTCCTTTATTTGAGAAGCGAGCCGCGCAGCCCCACCCTGCAGCAGCTTCCCGGGCCGTGACTGGTGAGGATGCAGGAAAGACGGTGGCCTCTGAGCCGCAGGATCTGTCCACGGCAGCAACGGCCGCTGGCACCGAGCAAGCACAGGCTACCAGGTGGAATGTCTCGCCCAGTCTCACATCCTGCGCGAGGCAGGGGTGAGGGGGCAGAGTCACCTGGACACGGCTTTCATAAACGTTTCCATCTGTGTCTTTAAAACACAGACATTCGGAGACTCCCATGATGTTTGTGGCTATCAGCCGTATATTACACACCAATTTCGTCAAATCGGGACCATGCTGGGTACTTTTATTTTCCTTTCTTTTTCTGAAATCTTTGCCAATTTGAAAACAGATATATTATTTTTGAAAAGAGATAAATTATTTTACCGTTATAGTTTTCATTTCTTTGATTACTAATGAGATTGAAACACATTTCCTACATTCACTGGTAACTTGTATTTCTTCTTTGGTAAACTGCCCTATGTATGTCATGTGCTACTTTTTCTATTAGGGTTTATAAATATCAATTTCTAAGAGCTTTTGAAATACCGGTATTGAAGACTCCCAGGCAGCCAAGGATAATGGCAGTTACCTAAATCCAAATTCCCCCCGCACATTCCACAAAATGATGGAGAATGGTGAGAACAAGTGCGGCTACACAGACCCAAAATTGCATCATAATGAGGACACAGGAAGTGTAACAAACTTCCAATTGCACACAAGCAGAAGAGTCAGCATCAAATCCCAGTGAGCTTAAAATGACTGTTTCAAAAGTATGTAGTCCCTCCTCAAGAAACTAGAAAGAGAAGAGTCAGTTAAATCTAAGGTAAGGAAAAGGGAAGAAAAAATAAAGGTAAGAGTCAAAAATCCATGAAAATGGCTTAGAACAGTCAAATAATAGAGACCATTAACAGAGCCAAAACTCGAATTTTTGAAAATTTTGAAAAGATTAATAAAATGGATAATCTGCTAGCAAGACTCACCAAGAAAAAAAAGAAATCACTGACACCAGGAGTTTAAAAGTACATCACTACAGGTCCTACAAATATTAAAAGGATAGTAGGAAAATACTAAAAATGATAGTTAACACATTAAACAATTTAAGTGAAACAGGAAACACTCCTTGAAATATGCAAATTAACAAAAGTGATATAAGAAGAACTAGAAAATCTAAATAACCTAATATCTATTAAACAAATTGAATTTCTAATCAAAACTTTCCCACAAAGAAAACTCCAGGCCCCAATCAAAAAACACAAAATACCTAGGAATAAATCTAATAAAAGATGTGCAAGGCTGGTATACTGAAAACAATGCAACATCACTGAGAAAATACCTGAATAAACTAAGAGATATACAGTGTTCCTGGACTGAAAGGCTCAATGTAGTTAGGATTGTCCTGTCTCCCTAAATTGATCTGTAGATATAATGCAATCCCAATCATAATTTTAAAGGTTTTTTTTTTTTTTTCTTTTTATAGAAAGTGACAAGCTGATTCTCAAATTTTTATGGCTGGGCGTGGTGGCTCATGCTTGTAATCCCAGCACCTTGGGCGGCCAAGGTGAGAGAATTGCTTGAGCCCAGCAGTTCAAGACCAGCCTGGGCAGCATAGTGAGACCCCATCTCTACAAAAGACAAACAACAAAAACTTTAAAAACTAGCTGGGCATGGTGGTGCACACCTGTAGTCCCAGCTACTTGGGAGGCTGAGGTGGGAGGATTGCTTGAGCCTGGGAAATCGAGGTTGCAGTGAGTTGAGATCACGCCACTGCACTCCAGCCTGGGTGACAGAGTGAGACTCTGTCTCTACAATAATAAAATAATAAAATAGTTATGGAATTGTAAAAGAACTAGCCTTGCTAAAGAAATCCTGTTAAAAAAAGAACAAAATTGTGGAAATTATTTTGACTTCATGGCTTCCTATAAAGCTCTGGTCATCAGGACAAGGTCAGGCTAGACAAGCTGACCCTCAGCCAAGGCACTAGGTCAGTCAGTGGGGAAGGAAGGTCTGAAACAGCGTGGCTGGGACAGCTGGAGATTCGTACGGAAAAATGAACCCCGACTCCTATCTCATGCCACACACACAAAAATTAACTCAAGACCTATGACAGACACAAACACAAAGCCCAGAACCACAAAGCTTCCAGAAGAAACCCAGGAAATGCCCTCACGAGTTTGAGGTCGGTGGATCTGGGTAGGATACAAAAACCCTAACCCATAAAGAAAAAACTTGATAAATTGGGCTTTATTTTAAAATGCCTGTAAAAAATGAAGAGATAAGCCACAGAGAAAAAATATGCACAGCACATTGATAAAGGACTTTATCCAGAATCTACAGGAATTGCTACAAATCAACAATAAAAAAAAAATTTTAAACAATGGGACAAATGTTTGCACAGATACTTTACCAAAGAGATAGAGTAACACCCATCATACACATGAAAATACACTCAGCATCCTTAGCCACCAGGGACGTGCAAGTTAAAACCTCATCGAGATGCTGCTCCACACTCCAGGGTGGCCACTGTCAGAAAGACCGACAGCACGGAATACTGGTAAGGGCGAGAGTGTGACTGGTGGGAATGTAAAATGCTACAGTCACTTTGGAAAACTGTCCTGCTGTTTCTCATAAAGGCAAGTGTACATCTGCCCTACAACCCAGAAGTTCCAGCCTTAGTATTTCATCAAGGGAAATGGGCACGTTCACAAAAAGCCTGGAACAAGGATGTTCACAGTGGCCTTGATCATAATAATCAAAAGCTAGAAATAAAGCTGGTTTATTTCTAGCAACTATCAAATGGATAATGGATAATGGATAAATGAATTGCAGAATAATTATAAAATGGAATACTGTTACACAATTAAAAAAATTTTAAAGCTACTGATTATGCAAAAACATTAATGAATTGCAAAAACACTACGTTAAGCAAAAATCAGATGCAAAAGTTCATTAACTTAAGAGTCTATTTATATGACACCTAAGAACAGGCCAAACTAATCTACAGTAATAAATATCAGAAAGTGGTTCCCTGGGTGTGGCAGAGGGCAAGTGATTGAATAAAAGTGGGAGAAAGACCTATATACAAATACATTTGAAAACTTAAAGTATATATTTCCCTAGGAAAACATAATTTATAAAAATTGACTCCATTAGAGATAGCAAGCTTAAAAGATCAACTCCTGTAGAAGGAACAGAGAAAGTTATCAAGGGATTACCCCACAAAAATGCACCTGGCCCAGACGGTCGTAACATGGAATTCCACCAAATCTTCAAAGATCAGATAATTTCAATGCCCCGTAAATGGTTCCAGGGCACAGAAAGTGAAGGAAAATTTCTAGTCCTTTTAAGAAGTGTAACATTGACACTTAACTCTGATATGGAGAGTAAATTAAAAAAGAAAATGACACACCAATATCACCTTTGAATATTGATGCAAATGAGCTAAACAAAATATTAAGAAATAGACTCCAGTTTCACATTAGGAAAATAATGCACCAATAACCAAGCAGATATAATCCAAGGATGAAAAGTTGGTTCAGTATTAGGAAGTCCATTAACGTAATAGACCATATTTACAGATCTGAGGGGAAAAATGATTATCTCCATATATGGTGAAAAAGCCCTCAATGAAATTCAACAATTATTCCTGAAAAAAAAGAAAAAGGCTCGAGAAAATAGGAATTACTGAATACCTTCTTCACAGGTA